AGCATCAAAGCCAGAGAGTCAGAGCAGCCGTTGTGTCTAGCCTCCATGCGAAGCCACCAAACTCCATTTTCCACACATCACACGGCACCGTTTTGGTGTACTTTGTTTCCTGCCACGTGTACTGCATCTTCACCCTACACGTGAAAGCTCGGTAGTTACAATACATCGCCACCGTCGGCTCCTCCGCCACCAACCACACCACAACATCCGGCAACATCAACGACGACGACGAATCCTCACCGCAAACATTCCTCCGGTAAGCCTCGTTAACCCACACCACACGGTTCGAGCCGTCCGACACGAAAGCTGGACAGGTGTCCTTGCCTAGATTATCCACCATCTCAACGTCCGTACAGTCCACCGCATGGGAACTCGAACTACCGTCACATACCCCCGTGACGGACTCCACCGTCACCCACGTTTCTACCTCCACCGTGACGCCGCCTTTAAACGTGCCCCACGTGCTAGTTTCTCGTGTTTTCTCTCCGATTATCGTTTTCACCGTCGGATCGAGACTATCCTGATTTAACGGCGTGTATTCGCCGGAAGGATCGGTTTTTTCCGGTAGCAGTTGCAGCGTCACAGCTCCGTTTTGTTCCCGATCATCAGACAAGTCAGATCTGCTCTTTCCTCGACACGTGCTTTTATTATTCTTCGAAACCCTAACGTACTTTCTTTTGGTTCGTTTGCTTATGCTGTATGAGCAGCTTCTGTTGTTATCTCCTGCAGCGCATGGCTGACCATTCGTAGGTTTTGGAGCGATCGGACGGTACCGGAGCATGAGAGTGTCCACGGAAACCTTATCCTGCGCTTTGCCGGCGTATCTTATCGTTCCCAACCACTCATCTTGGTCCATTCTTCTTTTCCCTCTCTCTCTTCTCAAACACTCTCACTCTTTCTCTCTCTCTCTTTCTCTTTCTCTCTCTCTAGTATTTCTGAGTGTCTCTCTCCGGTGAGCCGAACGAAAAGATTATCATTCGGGCCAAATGAGGAGGAATGGTAATTCGCCACGTGGCTTTAGGTTTAACGTAAGATACAGTTAAATCATTGGATGGTTTCTGTGCATCTCCTATGTCATCTTTTGCGATATATTTATGTCTCTTTTTGTTTCTTTAATTTATTGATATGTTTTTACCTTCTGGATTTTAGATCTAAGAGCAACAAGAAAAAGTATTATTTTTTTATATTTTGATAACGATCCAGAACAACTAGAAGACCCAGGTTTCAGACAAATTCTTGTTAAACCTTCGATTACGATCTGTTTTTGTCGTCCATTTTTATTATTAGTTTTATTGTTAGAAGATCTTGTTTATCAATCATACATATCGTACGATGAGTAACAAAACACATACACACACGTGTATATATATATACATGTCAACTCCTCGATCGATATAACTCTAACGTGCGTAGGTATATACATCTACATATAAATGTACAAGAGCTTGTGTTTTTGTGTATGGATAAGCTTTTTATCTAGCTAAAAACGTTGAGAACAACAATATTTCATAAGAACTTATAATGTTATAATTTTATAAAACATTAAAACATTCATCGTATATACATACGTTTGTTGCATCAGCTACCTTACATAAATCTGCTACGGCTTAAAAATAACAAAATATATAATGCAAATGAATAGAAAAAACGTTTTGAATTGTGTGAAAGATTCACATTTAAACAAGAAAAGCATTAAATTTATTACGTTGTATATATGCCATACAAAAATTACGGTCTCGTCCAGATTATATAAAACAATAAGCAGTAGAATTATTAGATAACCATTATAGTATTTAAATTCTTAACAAATGTATATGGTCCAACACATAATAGTATTTTAAGGTCGACTGGCCAATATAAACGCAGAGACACACACGTTGGTGCAATAGAAGCAATGTGAATATATATTTTCCCGCATAGATGCATACACATAGGTCCAGATGATAATTTTAATGGTATGGTAAATTGGGTACACAAGGCCTCCAATGATTTTGGTGTATTCCCCATTTTTTTATAAAAAAACTGAGGTTTCTATTATTTTAATGTGTGGATCCTATCTAAAACAAAATATGCTGTTTCCCCTTATTTGAGGACTCTTATTGGTCCTCGTAATCTCCGACCAATCAAAATGCATTATGTGTCCTCCATTTCTCAGTTGAAAAAGCTGTCATGTCATGACACATCGCACCTTTGAAAATAAACACATATATGCTTTTCTATTAACTTATGTACTCATGCGAGTAAAAGAATAGAAAATGTTAATGACCCTTTGAATTTTTGGGTTAATCTTTGAGAAGTTTTAGGCTAATGTATATGATCTAAGTTTTGCTTAAGTTCTTTCCAAGCTGACTTGAACTAATCCTGAAAACGGCACATTTGGAAAGTTTTAAAAGTCATCATTAAACCAAAAACCACTTGAAATGACAACGAGACATATAGCCGCAAAGACTTATAAAATATAACAAAAACAATAGAAAATCTTCATTATTTACATAAAAGCGTAAAATTTAAATATCGTGGCAAATTTTTTATTTTCCACATATTATTGAGTTTTCTTACAACGTCATTTATTGATGATATATTCTGAACAATCATGCATGAGACATGATGGCACTCTCACCTATGACAATGTCTCTCATACATGATTGTTTATCGAATAGATTTATATCGGTCACAAGACTCACAACAGCTAAGCGAGATCGAAGACAATTTTGGAAACTCAAGTATTTGTCCTGAGGATGCGAGAACCAAATGCGGTATTCTCAAAGACGAGAAAGCTACCAAATATGTCTACCATATATGGAGAAGATGGGCAAGAACTTAGATATTACTCTACGAAGAAGATTTCTATCATAATAATGATTAATGAAACCCACAAAACGTAAAATTAACAGAAGTGTTATTTCTCGTATATGTATATTTTTACATGTAACTTTATCATACCCGCGTTACGCTACGGAATATATTTCTAAATTTTGTATATAGTTTTAATATAATAAAATTATTTTTATAATATAAATCAGTATTATATTTATTTTTTATTAGCTTAAGTTATGTATTTATATGTTTTAAATATGAATAAACATTATATATCTTTAATTTTTTTTAATTTTTAAAATTATAATCTACTATCAAATTTGTTTAGCTAACTATCTAGAAATGTATATGTAAAAATAAAACAATACATTTTTAAGTACATTTATGCTAATGACAAATATAATTTGTTATCTCTATTAAATTACCACTTGATCATATAAAGCAAATTGCCATTTAAAAAAAACTGAGAAATCGCACTTTCCAATAAAACAAAAAAATTTCAGTTCACATATTCCTGTCAAAACCAAAATATTCGTTTTCACACCAAAACAAAGAAATTACATTTTCCTGCAAAAAACAAAAAATTATATTTTCCTGCGAGAACCCGTGTTTTCTCATCAAAATAGAGAAATCAAGTTTTTTCACCAAGACCAAAAATTTTATATTCCCATGAAAACCGAGAAATCGTCAATTCCCGCAAAAAAAAAAATCATCAAACTAAAAATCAGGTCTTCCTACCAAAACTGATAAACTACAATTTTCCACGGAAACAAAAAATTGCATTATCTACTGAGAAATTGTGTTTTCCGCGAAAACTAAGAAATTGTATTTTATCACGAAAACCCAAAAATCACATTATATGTCAAAAAACTGAAAATTTGCATTTTCCATCAATATCGAGAAATTGCTTATTCCTTCCAAAATCGAGAAATTTTGTTTTCCCATCAAACTGAGAAATTACATTTTCCTACTGAAACCAAAGAATTCCCTATTCCAGCTAAACCCATGAAATTTGTTCAGAGTAACCACTGGAAATGCGAATCTCCAAGTCATGGTGGTCTGAGCTTCTCCTCATTTGCTTTCGACTTCCATTATTTTGTAAACTTTTGGGCTTTTTAATGGGTCTGCAAAATAGTAAACTGATTTTATTAGTGTGTGAATGATATGTATTATTGTTATGTTTTTATTGGTTTAAAATTTTGTTGATGTGTGAGCTTCTTATAACATAAGGCTTTTTGCGTTGTTGTTATGGAAACATAGTTGATGATGAGTCTATACTTTTTAAATCATATATGTCTCTGTCGAAAAAACATATAGCTAAAAAAAATTATTTATTTGCTGTTAATTATTATTAGGATTTGGGTTTGGCAAAAAATAAAACAAAGATTTTTTTTTTTATTTACTGTTATTTATTATTTGAGCTTGAATTTGACAAACAATAAAACAAAGATATTTTTTATTTGATGTTGTTTATTATTTGGGCTTTGATTTTTTAAAAATAAAATAAATTATTAACAAAAAATGTATTTGAGTTTTTAATGGGTTTAAATTTAAAAATTAAAATAAGTAGATGAGTTGTATTAATGTTTTAATTTGATTGGTTTGTAAAATAGCTGATGTGTCAGCTTCTCAAAGATTAAAAAATCTGATGTATCAATTTATGGAGAGACTTGAATGTTATTGATGTATTGATTTGTAGTTTACATATCAAAGCAAGATATATATACCTAAACTTGTAAATATCTTGTAATCCACATATATTTGGTGGTAAAACATTTGGGCTCATACAATTTGACGTTGGCCCATATAGGCCCAAAAAGTAAAACTGTCGTGTGTTTAGCAGCCGCTGTGTCATCGTGGAACTCCCATTTTCTCTCGTCTCTCCTTCACTTCTTCGTTCCTCGATCGTCCCCGTCGCCGATCTCGTTGCTTCATTTGCCGGTGAGATTCTATCTGTTGGTGTATTTCGTTTTCAAATCCTTCGATTTCTTCTGTGACGTTTGATTGCTAGCTGTATATATATATATTCGTCGGATCTGTATGTAGACTCGGATTTCTAGGTCTTGTTCGCTTTTGTTGATTCGTGTATGTGTAGAGCAGTCGCATTATTACTGCCTCATTACTCTGTTTTCATTCAATTTCTTTCTTCTTCAGCGAATTGATTTGGTACAAGCGTTAATCAAATGGTTGGAGGAGGAGTAATCCAGCAAATCCTAAGGAGGAAGCTTCACTCCCAATCAGTTGTGAGAATCCTATTTCTGTTATTCCATTTTCGTTTGGGATTTTTCTTCACCCTTTGTGTACGATTTCAGCTTGGGATCTATTTTTAAGAGAGAATCCTCGGGATTTCTTTGTTGTTTTGGGTTCTCTGTGTAACGTTCTTCGTGTTTTGGGAGATTCGAATTGGCTAACTATAGATAGAAAAATCAGCTCTTGATTTCTTAGTACAAACTTATGAGACATGAGACAAGGATTTGTGTTCCTGTGTAGATTTTTGATTTGGTTTCCCGCGGACTTTTCTCAGGTAACTCCAGTGCGGTCGTGGTTATCTTCGAAGAAAGCTCATGAGGAAGCTGGGTCTTCTGGTGTAAGAGCACTTGCCCTCTTGGGTGCTGGTGTTACTGGGCTGTTGAGTTTTTCTACAGTAGCTTCTGCTGATGAGGCCGAACACGGACTGGAGTGTCCAGACTACCCTTGGCCTCATGAAGGCATTCTCAGCTCATATGACCATGCTTCGTGAGTCACCATTCTCTTCTCTTACCGTCTGTTGTTAGCATCTTTCTAATATTTTGTCTAAGTCTTGTTGCTTTTATAAGTCAATGGAGGTTTATACTGTGTGTTAACTTATGGAGGTTTGATGTGGTATGAGCAGGATCCGTCGTGGGCATCAAGTTTATCAGCAAGTATGTGCATCTTGCCATTCCATGTCTCTGATCTCATACCGAGACTTGGTGGGTGTTGCCTACACAGAGGAAGAGGCAAAGGCCATGGCAGCTGAAATCGAGGTAGTTGATGGACCTAATGATGAGGGTGAGATGTTCACCCGTCCTGGTAAACTCAGTGACCGGTTGCCTCAACCATATGCCAATGAATCTGCTGCAAGGTTTGCTAATGGTGGAGCGTATCCTCCTGATCTAAGTCTTATCACTAAGGTCTGTTGGCTGTTTTGCTTCTTAAAACGGATGATCTGAAGAATATGTGTGTTCCATTGATCTAAATGTTTTCAATGTTCTGCCTGCCAGGCACGTCACAACGGTCAAAATTACGTCTTTGCTCTTCTGACCGGTTACCGTGATCCTCCTGCTGGCATTTCGGTAATTTTTCTTTCATTTCTTACATTAAACTTTTTCGAATTCTAAATTTCTGATTGTTAAAAAAACCCTTGATATTTTTACAGATAAGGGAGGGGCTACACTACAATCCTTATTTCCCTGGGGGAGCAATTGCTATGCCCAAAATGCTCAATGATGAAGCTGTTGAGTATGAAGATGGCGTCCCTGCCACTGAGGCACAGGTTAGGCCCTCCTCCGTTTAAGATATTTGAAACGCAAATCTTTGGGCTCAAGGGACACACTTGCTCAGTGTCACGTTATTAACTCTACTTTTTCATGTACGGCGCAGATGGGTAAAGATGTTGTATCATTCTTGTCTTGGGCAGCTGAACCAGAAATGGAAGAGAGGAAATTGGTAGGTTTAAAACCTCTTTTCTCAAGTGCATATTGCATTTCTGTTAATGCGGCAGTCAAAGTTACTAGATTTTTTTGTTTATGATCGAACTAGGTCACTGAAATAACGACTTAGTTCTTGGTCTGCTGCTAAGACATTAACATCTAGATTTGCTGCTAATACGGTTTAAAATCTAGTTCTTAAACTCAGCCTCTTTACTGATCGGAAGAACCAACTAAAACCGGGGATTAGCTCTTGTATGTTCACATTTTACGTGGCGATTAATGTAGGTTTCATTATTTGCAGATGGGTTTCAAATGGATATTCCTACTCTCTCTCGCTCTGCTCCAAGCAGCGTACTACAGGCGACTGAGATGGTCGGTTCTCAAGTCCCGCAAGCTGGTTCTCGACGTGGTGAACTAAAGCACCGCCCAGGAAGCTTTTGCAGTTGGCCACACAGTCGTTTTTTCAACAATGGAATGTCTTTAAAAAAAAGGAGAAGAGCCTTTCTCTGGGTAATAACGTATCTCTCCATTTTTATGTGTCATAAAAATCTTTATGGGACCAGTTGTCGCCGGAAGGTGGAAAGAGCTCATCTTTCTTCTTTTTCCTTTCGCTTGAGAGTTTTATGAGGATAATAACGAAAAAAAACAAATTCTTCCTCATAATCAAAACATGATTTTGAGATTATACATTATTGATTTGTTTTCTTCTCCCATACCGGTCCATCTTTCCGGTTTTGTCTCAATAAAGAATATCTTTGTAGTACTCAATTTCCTGGCTTGTTAGTTTCGGTGCTCTTCTTCTTTTTGAGGGTTTTCATTTCTAATTCATTTTGCCTGTCATTGATTCCATATATATAAGTTATAGTACATACCAACAAAAGCTTAATACCATAATTTATATGGATATAATCACATAATGAAAGTACTGTATAATCGACAAAATTTCGAAACAGTACACTGAAAAAAAACTTATACATATGATTCTCACCAATAGCCCTGGTAGATAAATAATCGACATTGCTTATTCCCCTCCGAAATAAATTTCACCTATTGAACTCCAATTTTATAACCTATGATCATTGTAACTATAATAAGAGAGCATTATTACTCTCACCATCTCGATCTTATGATCAAACTCTCACCGGCTTTTGCAGAACAGCAGAGAGATACACTTGCGCATCAGCCTTCTCTCCAATAACCCATTTTAGCTTCTTATACCCAAACCTCTCGATCAGACGAGTAAGCTCTTTCTTCTTCTCGTCGCTGGCGCAGTAGAAGTTATCCAACCAGAACAATCCACCGGGTTTCAAAACCCGGTCAAGATCGAACATCAAGAACTCTAGCTTCTCCGGTTTACCCTCAACATCTAATCCGCTAGAAGCATGGATGAGATCGAACACATTGTCGTGGAAAGGGAACCTATGGTCTAGACTCAAGAACAACGGAAAAACCCCTCTCGCGGCTATGAATTCACTAAACGGAGCACCGTTGTTCAACGTGTTGGTGATCACAGTCACGTTCCTCTCAGCCATTCTAGCCGCGAAAGTCCCTGAGCCACCGCTGATATCGAACCCTATTCGGATTTTCCCACTTCCTAAACCCAACACGTCATCAATCAAGAAATCGTTCTTCCCTTTGACCTTCACAAACCTATCTTTCTCGCTACCCAGATCGAAGCAACCAACGCATTCCCGGCTAAGTTTCTTACCTTTCAAGCAATCGAAACTCTTGCAGCCAAGGCCACTCCAGTTAACACTCTTGTTACTAACGGATCTCCATAGCGAATCAGGAGACCGGCTCAGATCTTGCTTAGCCACCGTTTTCGCCAAGCACCGTCTTCGCGGCAACGGCTCGCATGCACGGAGAATCAACTTCTGGCCAAGGCTCCAATCATCGGGACATCTGTCGAACGCTTTGTACGTCATGTACTGAGAGAGCAAATCCGCAGATTTTTCACACGAGTGACCCACGGATGAAACCATTTCAGTGATCCCTGTGCGCGAGTCTTTCCCCAGAGGAAGCTGATGCCGCTGGAGGAATAGTTTGAGCTCAGGGACGATGTTTGGTCGGGAGAGATCGATTGATTCGTAGCCAAGGATCTGTTTCTCCATCTGAGCGAGCTTGCGTTGAGACGTATCGATCTCTCGGAGGATGAGAGAGAGATGTTGAGAAACGAGTGAGATGTTGTTGGAATGGTGGAGTGGCGAGTTGGGTTGGGAATGGGACGAGAAGGCGTATAAGGCGAAGAGGTTAGTAGTGACGACGGAGAAGAGCATAAGGAGGTTGACGGCGGAGGAGCAAATGGTCGATCGCCGGAATCTGGCGGTTCCATCTCCGATCTTCAAGGAGACAGATCCCATCTTAGCAGCTCTTCGAACGGTGAGAGAGTTGAGATAAAAGAAGAGCTGAAGCTAAAGTCTCACACTGTAGCTTGAATCTTCATAGTTGAATCTGTGATTGGATCTGCAGAAAGAACTTTCAGATTCAGAACATGTAAAATCTACATTCAAGCAATCAATTTAACGAAATGGGGAAAAGGAAGATTTAGTAAGATTAAGATCACTCCGACTTCAATCATTCAGATCTACCAAAGAGCAGCATGCGAAATTGCGATGAACACAACAAAATGAAGATTGATGACTGAAAAATTTGGTGAGGCTAAAGAGAAGAAAGAGGATACCGTGATTTCAGCTGAAGAGAGAGTTTGGTGATGATGGAACTATCACACTCCCATTTCCCGGAGCTAATATCGTCGTTACTTGAGAGTAAAAAGTATCGCCGACATGACTCGAGTCAACACGTGATTGACTACGATTGTGATTCTCTTTTCATGGGCCTTTTTATTGGGCTTCGGCCCATATAAACAAACAAACAAACCTTCTGGGCCTTCCAGAGGGGATCACAACTTGGAAAAAATACAGAATCGGAAACCATGAGCAGAGGGAAAACCACCGGCGCACATCTTTTTTCCGGTAATCATAGATTCTCCACCGACGTGGGGAGTCGGAAATCCCAAAGCTCTCTCTTTCCTTTCTCTCTCTCTTGTTTGCTTTTTGTTGCTTTAAATCTATATACCTCTCCATAGATGGAACTGAATAGTCTCTTTCACGGGCTTTTGCATAAACACGAATGGCTAATAAACCTGATCATTATCATCATCTCCATCACAACCACCACCAATCTTCTAGGAGATTGATGCTTGTATTGTGTTTCACTAGTGCTCTTGGGTTAGGATTAGTCGCAGCTTTGCTTTGTGTGTCTTCTTCTACTTTCTCAGTCTCTAGCGTTTCCTCCATCTGGGTACCCGTAAACCGACCGGAGATTCAAATTCCGAACATCGATTCCCGGATTGTTCAAAAGGTACATTTCAATCCATAGTGAAATTTGTGAAAACTTTGACTTTCTCTCTAAGATTCTCACCGTCCCCTCTCACTTGCAGAGAAGCAAACAATCGAACGGTTCAAAAGATCATGTCCGCTTCTTATCGGCAACATTCGCCGATTTACCGGCGCCGGAATTACAGTGGGAACAAATGCCGTCAGCTCCAGTTCCTCGACTTGACGGATACTCCGTACAAATCAAAAACCTTTTGTATGTCTTCTCCGGCTACGAAAGTCTCGACTACGTAAGAGAACTCGTTTACATTACATAGTACATACTCAATTTTCAGAAGCTTTTTGAAAAATGTGTTGATAGTAAGATTTTGATCACTTTTTCTTGTGCCACTGATTATATCCTCAGGTTCATTCTCATGTGGATGTGTTCAATTTCACAGACAACGAGTGGTGTGAGAGATTCGACACTCCTAAAGAGATGGCGAATTCGCATCTCGGGATCGTGACGGATGGACGATTTGTGTATGTGGTTTCAGGGCAGTATGGTCCTCAATGCAGAGGACCCACTTCTCGTTCCTTTGTCTTGGACTCAACCACAAAGACTTGGCTCGAGTTCCCTTCACTACCTGCTCCAAGGTAAGGTCTTTATATACCTGACATTTACTTCAAGGGTAGCTTTAGATCAGAATGTATTGTGTTGCCATGTAATCAACTGCCATTATAGAGATCCTTCTGTTGGATTTTTAGGTATGCTCCTGCGACTCAGATATGGAGAGGGAGGCTTCATGTGCTGGGAGGAAGCAAAGAGAATCGCAACGCAGTTGCTTATGACCATTGGAGCATAGCTGTGAAAGACGGAAAAGCTCTCGACGAATGGCGGGAAGAGCTTCCTATCCCTCGAGGTGGACCACACAGGTTTTACATTGTCTTGAGTTCACTGCCTTGTTTTGCCTTTTGTTTTGATCCCTCTGGTCGCTGACATAAACGGTGTGTAGGGCTTGTGTGGTTGCTAACGACAAGCTACTTGTGATCGGCGGTCAGGAAGGTGACTTCATGGCCAAACCTAACTCAACCATCTTCAAATGCTCACGTAGACGCGAGGTTCCTAATGATTTTACCCTTTCGATGATTCCTAATAACACTGAACGCTCTTCAGTTCCTAATGTTTTGGTCGCATTTCAGATCTTTAATGGTGAGGTGTACATGATGGACGAGGAGATGAAGTGGAAAATGTTACCACCGATGCCAAAGAACAATTCACACATTGAATCCGCATGGATCATCGTCAATAACTCGATCGTTATCGTTGGTGGAACCACGGATTGGCATCCAGTGACTAAAAGGCTTGTTCTTGTTGGAGAGATTTTCCGGTTTCAGATAGACACTTTGGTCAGTATTATGATGCTTCTCTTAATCATTTTTTTTTTTTGTGATTCCTTCTCCTGCAACGTTTCTTTAACTGTTTTTTTTGTTTCATTGTTTTCTCAGAAATGGTCTGTGATCGGACGGCTACCGTACCGTGTCAAAACAGCGATGGCCGGATACTGGAATGGCTATTTGTACTTCACGTCCGGGCAACGTGATAGAGGACCGGACAATCCACAGCCAGGGAAAGTTATTGGAGATATGTGGAGAACTAAGTTGAAGTTTTGATGTTTATAGTTTGAAGTTTTAAATGATAACAAAATTTCATTAGAAGACTGTTTTTATATGTTTGTTGGTCATTTGGAAAAGAAGATAAGAGCGTTGGAGATGAAACTCTTGTTCTGTAGTTTATAGATTACTTTCTACAACCAAAAAATTATAAAAAGTTCATATTGTTATACAAATAATCCATCACTCCAAATAGCTTTCAGATTTCTCTAAGCTACTTATGATGCAACCATAACTATCGTTTTCTGATTCTTTATGGGGCGTAGAGTTTTGTTTTCGCAAGTTAATCGATACCAACCAACTTTTAATCCTTTTGTTGATTATATTGGACACATTTTTAGAAAAAAAATATCTACTAGTACTATTTGTAATTGTCGGCACAAGATTTCATTCCGTATCAGTTCTATGTTTTAGAAAAAAAACAATAATCATAGTAGGTATTAATTAATGCATTGAAAATGAATTTTGAAGAAAAGGTAGGAGAAAATCAAGTAGCATTTGTTGAGAAAATACGTTACAATTGAATACAAGACAATGTCTGTAATGGGTTCGGAAACTATATTAAAGAGAGAAAAAAAAATAAAAGAAAAAACAAAATCTAGTAACAATATCAAATGGAATCTTCAGAGAAGAATGATGGCATGGGCAATGTGGTTTTGGGTTCAAGAGTCAAGACAATGCACAAGGATCCAAGAAAGACTTCAAACAAAAAAAGAGAACACAGTAAAAGTGGAAGGTGTGGCATGTGTGATGTGTGATACCCACTTCTAATGGTTCACAATATTAGAGGTTTCTAATTTCGTTTGGTTAAACCAAGCTAGGATTTGGTAATAATATGAACTTGATTTTGAAAACTAAGAACAATGTAGATTCTTCGATTTTACTTTTCTATATCCGAAAAAAATGAAAAACTAAAATCAGAGATGCCATGGTAGATGAAAACATGCGGACCAGAACTATACTGAATTGGTTAAATGCACGTTTTTTTTTTCTTTCTTTTTTTTGCATGTTATTTGATGGTTAAGCGTAAACTGACATGCAACGCTATGGAGGCATATATTCTGAAAGATAATTTTACTTTTGAACTTGTTTTTTTTTTTTTTTTTTTTTTGCTAAGAATGTTAATATCATATAAAATGAAGATAGTTGGTTTTACAGAAAGAAAAAAAACCTATACAAGTGGTTCCTTGGCAAAAAAGATATAAAATGAACTTGTTTTTTAATAGCCGGACCTAAATTTTTGTCTACAACATATACTGTAGTTGGTATTATTTTAGCTACCATTACCACGTATGATTAAAAAACGAAGATAAATAATGTGGGTTAACGACTTCTATTCTCAAAAAACAAATAGAACATGTCGTTCTCCTGGACCGACCACGATAAATATTTTCAGTCTCTATCCTAATTTTTGTCCTTATTCTTAAATAGTTACATCAGAGAGCATGAACTTTGCAGATGATATTCACACGCAGACAAAAAATGAGCAAACTGATCTCATAAAACCGATATATTATTTGATTAGTCCTTTCTTTATTTAACCTTTATAATAAGTTGATTTATTAAAAATTCGTTTTATTATATATAAATGTAAATTTCAACACAAATAAAAGTATTAGTGACTGGTTAAATAGTCTTAACTAACTTTCAACAGCCATAAATGCATAATTAAACCACTCTAGGATATAAATATATGAAGGTCTGATACAAGGCATTGTGATTGCTATGCGTACGTATAACATCTAACAAGTAACAAACCACGTCCTTACTTACGCTTTAAATCATCTGTTTCTGACTTGCATACTGGTTTTTATGCATAAATTATTACGTTATTTGGTTTTCCCGAAAATTATCACAAATGATTCCACATAAACCTCGATCTAAACCTTCTACAGAAATAATATAGACAATATAGATTATAGCCTATTTCTTTAGATATTTTCTCATTAAGTACAAACTTGTCAAAAACATTTAAAGAAAACACGAACTTTGTAAAAGTTGATGCTTAATTAGTAGGTCAGCTACATAAAAATTCAGAAAGTCATATAGATGACCACTTCTAATAAAAATCATTACAATTGCGTCTTTTTGTATTACTCGTTATCACTCCATTTGCTGTGGTCACGGAAAGAGAAATCCGATGACAATATTATTGGATTCATAAGCATCATAAATGCATTATCAATATAAAAAACCAATAATTACGAGTTTGATTAACGCGACTGTCGACAAAACAAAACAAATATTGGCGTATGCATCAATCAATCCATGTATTGTCAAATTCGTGGGAAATTATATTTTATCTGCTAGATTTGTAAGTTTTAGAGAAGTATTTGGCATCCAGTAGTGATCACATACTGACTTGGATAATCACCCAATTCCAAATCTTAGATTATTAAACACAATCAATCAAATAATAATAATCCAAAAAAGACAAAAAAATTGGACTCCTCAATTATTTTTTTTTTAAAAAAACGATATCCCATAAATCAAATGAAGTTGCCTATTAAACTAAATGAAATACTTGAGATTATATGGTTTTTATGTTGGCGATTGTAACTTTTAAACGTTTTGATATAGATATGGTTTTATTACAATGTGAACATTTTATACACTCTACAACAAAGTTCAAGAGTTGATTCTCTTTGTTATAAACAAAATTATAAATTAGACTAAGCTAATTAAAAAACGATGATGTCAAAAAAAACAAAACTAATATCAAAGACGTAATTATATGTCACAACCGTCCACCGGTATACATATATCGTATCATTCACAACTGTGTCTATGAAACTAATTAACCATAAAAACATATAAAATCAAATATTAAATTATATGGAGCCGCTTTTATATGCTATCCTATAGATATCTTAAAGAGGCAATATGTCCTTTTGGAGATTAAAAGATTGAATTAGTGAAGTAACTAGTAAGTCGTGAGTAACGTTTTGACATTTCTAACAAACAAAAGTTAACTGAACAGTTCAGTCTGAACTGCAAACAGTCAAAAGTACTGTATTTATTTCGTATATAAATAATATCTTTCGATCACCTAATCATGTTAATCTAATTCAAGTAGCAAACAAAACAAAAATCGCTTAATATATTCAATAAGAAAAAATATAATGTTCATTATAAGCAGTGCATGTGGATCAAAAGACATTATCTTAATCTTTTAAAATTAACTAAACGATTATCTTTTTAAGTTTCACTTTTCACGAAGCAAAATATATCTCAAATTTCATACACTGGTACATATTACGCTTGACGAAAAGAAATTGATTGTTAGGTGGTTATGTCTTAGACTTTTGAACATTGAACCGTTGATTATTAAGCCTCCGTAGAAATATGTCATATATCGATGCATAACAATAGAATCCAAACTATAAAGTGAGGAGAATCTAATATCATCGAAAATGTAATGTAACATCAACTGATTAACAGCATCCTATTCTAAATCTTATTGCTAAATACATTTTTACACCATATATATATATATATATATATATATACAAATAGAATCCGGAATTGGTCTGAGGCAAACAGTCAAACCAATCTTTGTATTACAATAATTTAGTGCAATACGGACTGAATGGACATGCCAGATTGTTGTATACAACTGAGTCTGAGAGATTATAAATAGCATATTTTTGTTTGCAAGTCCCTAATCTTGTATACGTAATCACTAATCAGGGGATTAACATAAAATGCCACGTTACTCAAAAAAAGTCACAAATGGGTCCCACCATGATATACCCACACGATAAAGACGTGGAGTACCCAAAACGACACAGTTTTATCTCTCACACACACACGAAAACTGAGTGGGCGCCGTGTACGTGTGGGACCCACCTCGCATTCTCCGACGAAAACAAAAAGAAAGATATACCCGTCTCCTCTTCCATATTCACCGTTTTTAAACAAAAAACAGTTCATCATTCCTCCCCAATCAAAACTCTCTCGATTCTCTCTCTCTCGAAAGTTTCTCACTTTTTTCAAGTTTTTTTTTCTTTTTATAATAATTTGAAATTCGATGCCAGTTAATGGGTTCGTCTCCGTCATCGCTTAATAAGTCTCCGTTTAGAGCAGACAGTATGGTAACACCAGAATCTCCCACCAAAGATAACTCAGCTCCGATGACTGTCAAGCCGGAGAAAAACGACGCCGTCTCGATCGTTTCTAATGTATCGCAGTCGTCTCCTGCCAAGAAAAGCTTCGGTATTATTCAAATTCTTATAATCGAGATAGATCATCGCCTCCTCTGTGTTTGATTCTCCAGTTTATTTTTATTTTTGTGTTTAAGATCGTAAATGATTAGTTCATGATGTATATTGAATCTGACTGGGGATGTGGGGTTGCTCGGTTTATATATAATATGTGTTTTCCTTATAATTGATTATTTATATTCATTCAATTCTCAGAATCGCCAAGAAAGAGTACCTCGATTCCGGTGGTTTCTCCGGCGAATAATAATTCCACTCCTGTCAAATCTCGGTGGTCGTTTTCTTCTTCTAAGAAAAGCTTTGGTATTTATTACTCCTAAATATCTTTCCTTTTGAATTTAATTCCTGATATGGTTTTCTTTTCCAGTGTTTGACCTTTTCAGATGATTGGTCTTTTTTTTTCTGATGCTCAGTTTAGTTATTGTCCGATCTAATTACACACTCTTTTGTTTGTTTTTGTTTATATGAACATTGGCATGTGGAGGTTCGGTCACCGTGACCGGAATAACAGTATCTGAAGTTAGTCTTCCATTAATTCATATTAAAAAAAAAACAAAAATTTTATTGATGGTTTTCTAAATCAATTTGATGTTCTTCCTGTCAACATTAGATAGAGACTAATAGGTGTTATTGATAAGATCATATCTCTTATTTGATTTCTTCCATTAATAGATTTCTAGGGGATTTTATTGATAGAAACAAAGACTTTATTTCCCGTGATAACATAGATTTTTTCTCATAACAGGAAAAAGTTGTTTAATAAAAGACAGAGATAGCTAATTTGATAAAAAGTTTTCGACTTTAAACTGTGTGACCCAGATCTGAAAACTGTGTAAAAGTATGGGTACTACTCTTTCACTCTGTTTGATCTGGGTTCCATTGTTTTTCACGCTTTAATTTGAAGTTTTTTTATAAAAAAATTGTTCGAAATTTTTACCCGGGAACTTTAGAGATTTTAAGTTTCAAATTAATCTCTTTTTAGGCATTCGTTTGTAATTTACTCAGATACCATCTCCTCTGTTTTAAAGAGGTAGACTTGTAGTCATTCTTCTCTGTTTTGGTCTTATGATGTTGAATGAATCAAAAGGTTTGAAAAATACACGTATGAATCATACTCTTACATTCTTGTTCTTAAAGTTTTGAAATATATCTTTTAATTTGTTCCACAGGGAGTAAAGATGAAGCCTTTTTCGATTCTCAGCAATGGCTACAATCCGACTCCGACGATGATTTTCATAGCGTCAATGGCGGTAAAAACTTGGATCTTTATTAGTTTCTTTTTGAATAGTTGACAACTTGACATAGATTCTGTAGTATTCAAGATTCATAATTTTCTTTTTTTTTTTGGGTTAACTATTTATCCTCAGATTTCACTCCATCGCGTGGAAACACTCCTAAGAGCAGCTTTTCGGATAGGCCTCCTCGTTTCAACAACCTTATATTCCAAGAGAAGAATCCTTCTCGTGGCTCTTCTCCAGCGCCAAAACCGAGGAGGAAGAAGCTTGGTGAGCTTTTCAGAGACAGTATAAGAGAAGAACGAGAGGAAAGCTCTGGTGGGTCATCATCTCTAAGCTCTCCTTATGATCTCTCAGGTGCGAACTCAGGCGAATTCAACAATGCCGCCATTGAAGATGCTGGTGTGAAGGAAGAGAAGAAGAAGTCTAACTGGCATCATCGTCGTTGTCTTCCTGGTTTGTCTTCATGTGGTGGAAGTTTCATGGAGAGGAGGAAGAAGATGAGCTCTGAAACCGCGGTTGTCGCTGTGAAATGAGATGTACAGAATAATGTTTTATATATATGAAAGAATGGGAAAAGAGATCTCAGAGTAGAAAAACTCTTGGTGAATCTTACAGTAACTTCACTTGCTGTGATGAGAAGAAAACTGAATGCGATAGTTGAAGAGATCATGTAAAAAAATATGAGATGTTCAGGTGTGTTGATGAAAGTTATATGACTTTTGGATCTTTGCTTTGGCTCATGAAGTTTCAAGAAGTGATTCATTGTTTCTTTACATCAAATTGTGTGATAGAATGTTGTAACAACATGAACAAAAAAAATGATCAAAATCAAGTAAAAAAGCATTCTTAATCAATAGTCGCAGCTATCACTACAAAATAAATTTATCAAATTTTAGCAAAATTTTGTAGTTTATGACAAAATACCAGTCCCAAAATTGAAAAGAAATTCATAATGTTAACGGATAAACCTAAATGTATTTGAGTAAATCCATTTTGTGGATAAGTGATAGTTTTTCAAGAATAGTGATAATCTATAATGAAGAAAACTTTCAATTTTAGATAGTTCTCATTATATATCAGCTCAAGTGAAACAACTTAATACAGCTCGGTTCTTGTTTTAAATATGAAAATGGATCAAAGAAAACCAAAGAGGATGTAGAAGCTTTAGGTGAAAGTAGTTAACACACAAAGGTAAAGCAGTATTTCTAAACCGGGTGGCTTTTTTAAATCTTGCTTGCTAAAGGCTTTTTGTCTCCTTAACTTATTCGGCAATTCTGATGCAAACGTTCTACTTGAACACACATAAAATATGATGCCCAAAATAAATACATTACACAAATACTAATTTTAAAGATTCGACAACCACCAAAGATCTTAGCTTCGATTCAACTCCAAGCTTGTTTTGTTTCTTTTCTTCCTAAATTTATCTCTTAAGCAACCAATGCTCATGCATTGCCTATATATACACACTAGCTAGCAGAACCTTAAGTATTTCAAAACCGGATTCAATTCAGTAAAACCAAATGAAAATGCAAACTGTTCTTGTTATCCTGGTTTTCTCCGGTTTAATCACGATTAAGACAACGTTTGCTGCACAACATGTGATGGGCGGGAGCCAAGGCTGGGAACAATCCGTTGACTTTGATTCTTGGTCTTCCGATCAATCTTTCAAAGTCGGCGACCAATTGGGTACGTAACGTTTTTTGTTCTAATCTCTCAATTCTGTTTCTTAAACCGACCGGTTTAAAGACCAAAACGTTATTTTTTTCCTTGTAGTTTTTAAGTATTCGGGACTACACAGCGTCGTTGAGCTAGGAAGTGAAACGGCATACAAGAGTTGTGACCTGGGAACACCAGTAAACTCCTTGAGCTCTGGAAACGACGTCGTTAAGCTTTCCAAGACCGGTACTCGTTATTTCGCATGTGGGACCCCAGGGCATTGCGAACAAGGCATGAAGGTCAAAGTCAACGTTGTTTCTTCTGACTCCACCGCCGTTTCCTCCCCCGGCGCGGGTTCAAGTTCGGGTTCGAGCTCTAGCTCGGATTCTGGTTCGGGTCATGGGTTACGTGCTTCCATTGGATATATTTTGGCTGTTGGATCGTTGGTTGTTGGTCTTATTTGGGCTTTCTGAGAATTTAGTCTTTTTGTTATTCATCGAGGAAATATATTCGGAGAGGAGAAAATAAATAATTTTTGTATTTTATTAATTCGTATTTGTTGTATTTCGTACCATTATGTACTTCGGATTTTCAATTTCTGATCTTATTCTATGCGGTATCTCTTTTTTCTCCATACTTCTGTTTTATCAACCTGTCCACTTGATTGGTCCCGTTGGAATATTATTTATTATGCCTTCTCGTATATATTTTGTATATGTTAACACTATAAATTTGTTTAGCTTTTTTCAAAAAAAAATTGTGCACAATTTCGCGTAATACACAGAAACCATAACTATTTTCAATAATTTATTTACACTAGCAATTGTTTTTTTTCAAATACTCCTAGCAGATATGGAAAGTCTCCGTTAAACCCTATTTTAAAAGAGATAAATATTTAAATTTAGTTATTTCCCTTCACGTTTCGCCCACAAATATTTAAAAAGGACGGAGGGAGCAGGACAAGTGGGTTGCCGTATTGCGACGAATCGTCGTCACTGATCACTACGGATCATTTTTTCCCCTAAATTTTCCTAAACTCTCGTTTTCTTCTCCGGAGACCAAATCGGAATTTCGCTCTCCTATCGTTCGCCGGGAAATTCAATGCCAGAAGACTCTACCTCGATTGACTATGTCATGGAGAAGGCATCTGGGCCTCACTTCTCCGGTCTTCGCCTCGACGGCCTTCTTTCTTCTCCGTCGAAATCTTCGAACTCTTCTCCTTCTCACTTCCGTTCCGGCGTTCCATATTTTTCGATTATCGCCGATCCAGACGCGCCTAATCAGCCCTTCGTTATCGGTGATTTTCGATTCTCCTTTTCCACTCCCGCGCTTTGATCCTTGCTTATTCAATTGTCGAACTCTCTCAAATTCCGATCCTGGACTATCATCCCTTATTTTATTGAATTTGGCGCTTCTGCTACATTTTATTGGTTTTTATCTTAGGATTTTAGCCGAGCAAAATTTGAGGTAGCATTTGTGCTTCCAAGTTGATTCACTTGAACAAGAGTAGAGATATCTGGATCGATATCAGTTTCAAGCTAGGGCTTAATCCTATTTCCCTTTGACTAAATTGAAAAAAATTATAGATATTTGGATCGATCTCACTAGCTTAAGGATTAGACCTTGTTTTCCTTTGAATTTGTGTAGGAGTTACTGGTGGTACCGCTTCTGGTAAGACCACGGTATGTGACATGATAATCCAGCAACTTCATGATCATCGCATTGTTCTAGTTAACCAGGTTAGATTCTGAAGCCGTACTTGCCCTCAGTTTCCTCATGTATCACTCGCTAGCTTGGATATACGATGTACTGTTTCCTCAGTTTCCTCTCTTCTTTTTTTTTCTGTACTCTGATGCTGTGTTGTTGATTAGGATTCCTTTTACCGTGGTCTGACATCTGAAGAAATGACGCATGTGCAAGAATACAATTTCGATCATCCTGGTAGAGTTTCTTACTGGTTCCTCCGTATATTTCTCTCTGATTGTTTTTTGTTTGGGAACACTGATATTCAGCTCCGGTCATTTTGGTTAAATTTTCAACGTATGGTTTCTTTTTCCTTTTTCATTTTCTCCAGATGCCTTTGACACTGAGCAGCTTTTGCATTGCATTGATACACTCAAGAGTGGACAACCCTATCAAATCCCAATTTACGACTTCAAGACCCATCAGCGCAAATCAGATGCTTTCCGCCAGGTGCGTACTCTGCTGTGGTGGAATTTTGTGTAGCTATTGCCTAAGATGTGTCTTTCAATTGTTTGACCTCCTTATATGGTTTCTTTCTGCGGTTTTATTGGTTTTTAGCTTCTAACTTCATGTGGCTGGATCTTCGGAATATTGACTTTTGCAATACCCATATTTGCATCTATTTAAGTCTATTTTAGGCGTTGAGTTGATGAGGATTATCGTTTGTTAAATCAGTCAGTGGGGACTTTTGTCAGGTCAATGCTTGTGATGTCATAATTTTGGAAGGGATTCTAGTTTTCCATGACTCACGAGTTCGGGATCTGATGAATATGAAGATCTTCGTTGACACAGGTCACCACCTTAACTCCAGCATAACTAGCTGCAGTGTATTGTCCCTTTTTTTTGTTTTCCTTTATCTGAGCCTTATTTGTTATGGACAATTCTAAATGATATTGACTACTGTATATTGCGATGGAAGTTCTCCACTTCCTGTTCAGTAGCTGATGATCCCCTTGATGGATTAACTCACCTTCGCCATTCTATCACTTGTTGACCTTGAAAGACAGAATAAATGCCTTTGAAGCTTCATAATTAGCTAACTTTTAATCTTATTGAAATTTCTATGATCCTCACCGATGTTAAATCTAGCTATTGATTGCTTCCAGATGCTGATGTGAGGCTTGCTCGCAGAATCAGGCGTGACACGGTTGAGAGGGGTAGGGATGTTGATTCTGTGCTTGAACAGGTTAGTCTTTATTTCAGTTTCGGTGTAAAATGTGTCACCTATGCAAGTTAGTGCTCTAAATCTGTGAATACTGAATACAATACGAGGAACTAGCAACTTATGGTTTCTGTGCATTACTGAACAACTCAATGCTCCTGTTTTTTCTGGACACTTTAAATCCGCTCTTTGAACTGTTCTTCTATATAACATTGTTATCGTAGAGCTTCCTTTATTTATCAGCTTTGCTTGTTTTAAGGGCGTTATGTTCATTTGCAGTATGCAAAGTTTGTGAAGCCCGCGTTTGATGATTTTGTGCTCCCCTCAAAGAAATATGCCGATGTGATCATTCCCCGAGGAGGTGACAATCACGTTGCAGTTGATTTGATTGTGCAACATATCCACACAAAACTTGGGCAACATGATCTCTGCAAAATCTACCCAAATGTTTTTGTTATCCAATCAACATTTCAGGTAATTTCCGCCTGTTCCCAGGTGCTTGTTGCTTGATTCAGACGGTAAAGATTAAAACCGTTTTCTCATTCTAAGATCGTAACTGCAGATAAGAGGCATGCATACACTTATTCGAGAGAAGGACATATCCAAACATGACTTTGTGTTTTACTCAGATCGCCTCATTCGTCTGGTACTCTTTCAACTCGTGTCTTCCCTTTCAACGTCACTCAGGTTTCAAGCCTTGTTATTTCAATTGTTGATGGCTTTATTTCAGGTTGTGGAGCATGGTCTTGGCCATTTGCCATTCACTGAGAAACAAGTAGTTACTCCAACAGGTATAAGTATAACAGGAGAACGGCTTCACCTGTAACTATATTTCATAATTTTGTATTTATATTGGAGCAACTAGTTCTTGAGATCCATTAACGTCTCTGTCGCATGGATCTGGAAAAATTGTTTTTGACTTAATCAAGCGAATACCTAATGCTTTGTGTGGCATTTACTGCTCGATTGCATCCCCACGATTATAATTTCTAATCTTTCCCAAACCAGGATCTGTGTATAGCGGTGTTGATTTCTGCAAGAAACTTTGTGGGGTCTCAATCATTCGAAGGTGAGCATTGAAAGATATTACGTGTTTTAAAGTTCTTGATAGATGGAATCTGGAGCTGTTTAGTTTTCCAGTTTGTTTACACTTACAAAATACGGCATTCAAGAAACGCGTGTAAGATTGGAAGCATACATTGCTGTTTGCTTATGTGGTTAGTGAGTGTTTATTCTGACCTCTTGCCTAAAATTTCATGTTTTGTACGCTTTACTAGTGGTGAAAGCATGGAAAACGCATTACGCGCCTGTTGCAAAGGCATCAAAATAGGGAAGATTCTCATTCATCGTGACGGCGACAATGGAATGCAGGTTTGTTTGTGTGTGGATTGTTTCAACTCCTTGAACAGTTTACGAAGATCATGACTCTTTTCTAAAGCAAAGAAACCTAAATCATTATTCCTCGCTTATGAATCAGCTTATATATGAGAAGCTTCCAAGCGATATCTCTGAGCGCCATGTCCTGCTTCTAGATCCGGTTTTAGGCACAGGTAAAATAACTAGCAGTCATTTTTCTTCTTGTGGTTTGAAGTGTATATCCTCTTAATCTTTCATTGGATTTCTTGAAGGTAACTCTGCAAGTCAGGCGATAGAACTTCTGATACAAAAAGGAGTACCTGAATCCCACATTATATTCCTCAATCTCATCTCGGTGAGTGTTTCAATCAACCAAAACATACTTCATGACATAACTTATAGTCTTATTCTCTCTCTCACGCTCTCTCACAACTCACAACCGATTCTGCATCATATAGGCTCCGGAAGGAATCCATTGCGTCTGCAAACGGTTTCCATTGTTGAAGATTGTGACGTCAGAAATAGATCAGTGTCTGAACGAAGAGTTCCGGGTTATACCAGGCTTGGGTGAGTTCGGTGATCGCTACTTCGGCACTGACGAGTGAAAGTGCTTTACTGATCAACACAGTGCTTCAGTAATGGACCTAATGGTTGTTGTGTCTATGTGTGTGGGCAAAAAAGTCGCGACCATGTTATCAAAATGTGAACCACGGGAAGGGGATTATTTGGATTTTTTGCTTTTTTCCTGTCAGAAAGCTTCTTGCTTACTTGAAGTTGGAAAGAACAAAAAATCATTTGGATTTTCTTTGTTTTTGTACATAGTTTAACTTCGATCAACAGATCCCATTACTCCGATTTAATACACTTCTTCAGTGGCACTCCGATTAAACACTTTCGTAGTATATGACAGCTTCTTACTTCTTGGAAAATATAAGGCACTTTATTTTTGTTAATCTGTGCTACTAGCCTACTAGACAGACTATTGTGAATGTATATACTCGATATACACGATATACAATACTAGCCTAATTGGCCCCACAAAATTTACCAAGTTGCAGAAAAAGCCACCAAAAAAGTCAATTAGCTAAAAGCGTGATTTAGGCGTCATCCAAGGAAGCTCCTCCCCACCCAAACCGTCGGCAATCATCTCCTCCGTCTCCGTACCTAACCGTATCCTCAGCAAAGGCCTCCTCGCCGGAAGAACTGGCAACGGCGCCTCCCCACGAATAATCCTCACAGCTTCCTTCACCGTCGGCCGCTTCTCGCAATCAGGATGCGAACATACCATCCCAACCATCAACACTCTTTCCATTTCCTCCGCATCAAACTCTTCCTTCAGCATAACATCAGCACCATCCAGGACCTTCCCTTTCTCCCAGAGACTCCACATCAGGTCTACAAGCACCGTCCCGTCATCTCCTACCGGTCTACGCCCCGTACAC